TTGTTTTGATTGATCGTTTTGATTCCCCGACTCTAATATTGCCTTATACGGGTTTGACGGTGTTGCCCTGGTCGGCCGCTCACGCCATGTGGCGGCCGTAGTTTGATTGTCGCTGGTGTCGCCAGGGGGAGTCGTGTTCTTGGCGACGGCTGGTCCTGGGTTACGAGGGAGCGACACGTTTCCCGGTGCTTTCCCGTAGTGCGGGGGCGCTGCCCGCGCAATTTCGAATTCAGATGTCGGCGAGTCCTCCCGCCACTTTACCCTCCCGGAAACTTTCACGCGAACTCTGGGTGTCCGACGCCGAGGCTTGAAGGCCTCGAACCAACCACCTCCACAGCAAAGATCCGAGGGTTCGGCCACTTTGTGAGGCCGATGATGAGGCTGAAGGCTTCGAACCCACCACCTATCCCCCAAACCCCTGACGGCCGAAGTTTTGTCCTCCGCCGCCATGGCCCTCTCCCCCTGATGCCTTTTTCTGTCCCGATGCACGACGGTAGTTCATTTTTGCGGAAACCTTTTTGATTTTATCATTTCAGAGTGATCCGACCCCCACGGGACTCCGCGACGACAGTTCGACTCCGGGGAAAACCTCTGGCACGAAATGAGGGCCTCCGGTTCCGTCCAGGAGACTCAACCCTTACGGGCAAAAATCATCGGCCACGCCCCTCCTAGAACTCTGATCGGCGACCCCGTACGGGAAGTCGCGAGGGGGCGTGAGGTTTGTGTATCACAAACCTACTTGTGTTTCTCGTCCTTTTTTTTTTGTTTTTTGATCCAGGCTCTTCGGCGGGGTTTATACTGCCGTCTTCTGTCATTACTTAGGCTTTAATCTGACATACACGGCCCCAGCAGCCTTGCAGAAAGTTTTTGTCGCCGCAAGCAAAACTCGGAGGGGCCCCAAGCAGAACTCGGAGGGGCCGCACGGCGTGGGGCGCCGTTGAAAAAAACAATCGGCGGCCTTCGAAGTGGTGCGGGTTTTGTAGTGACAACCGTGGGCCGATGAGTGGTGTACTGGTGCTTTAAACCACCAGTACTTGGCCCATA